ATGTCTATAATCCATGCTGGTCTCTGTCATAAGGAAAAAGGGCATTTCACCTACAGGGTAAAAGTCATGGACAGTAGATTAAAATTTCAGGAGCTTGAAAGTGGTTCCGGATGAGGTGAAAAATATTTTAATGTGATTTTCTTTCAGGAGATTAGGTTTTTAAAATGAGGCTTCAGATTTTGAAATTAGTTCTCAATAAACTATCAGGTATATATAATAGAATGTACGCTTTTCTCCTTAAGACTATGAGGGTCCAGTTCCTTGCTTTTTCACTGGATTTTGTTTATGATTGTGTTCATTCATTCATTCCTCACATATTGAATGAACACCCTTTGTACAAGACCCCATCTTGGGGATAAAAAGGTGACCATGACACGTGACCCTGTCTTCAAAAATCAGGAGTCAGCAAACTTCTTCTGTAAAGTGCCAGTAAATATTTTCGGCTTTGGGGGCCATACCATCTCTGTTAGGACTACCCAGCTGCTATAGTGTGAAAGTAGCCACAGACACTCGTAAATGTGTCTCAATAAAACTTTATTTACAAAAACAGGCTATGGGCTGGATTGGCTTGCAGGTTTTTGGACCCTGTGTAGTGGATCTAGTGGACAAATAAAGAAGAATTCAATGTGATAAGGTCCTGTGATAGGTCAGATACAAGATTCTGTATATGAAACACGTGGACAGGGGGGCCCAACCCTGATGGGAGTGGGTGATCTTTGAAGCCTTCCTAGAACCGTGATGTTTGCACTGAGGCCTTAAAGATATGTAGGAATAGCCAGGTGAAGGGTGTATGGATTAGGGAGGTGAGAGAAGGGGTAGTTGTGTGTAGAGAATAAATGTTCTAGAAAGAAGGACTAGAAAGTAGCACGGCTGGAAAGCAGAGAATCAAATGAAGAGTGACAAGAAATCCTCTCTGTCTGGAAGAGGTTGACATGGTCTGCATTTCACATCGGAAGAAGCTGCCCCTCGGAGCCCTCACACGGCAAAGCAGGAACTGAAGTTCTCTTACATGAAAATGATGCAGACAGTTTTGTTTTAAGGTTCAATCAGTTAGTGCCAGGACTTTACATTTTAGAAGCAGACTGAACAACATGAAAAGTGCTGCATGGGTGACTTTATTTTGTCTAGCGGTGGCCTGGCAGGAGGCCTGTGACTGCTGGGGAGCGTAAGAAACTACAGAAAAAGGAGAGCCAGGCGGTGATGGCGATCTGCCTGCTCCCATGAGGCATTTGCCGCCGGAACAAGACGTCTGGCCCTCACTGCGAAGAGAAACCAAATGAGCTAAGTGACAGAGCTAACGCCCTTCCCCGAGCTGAGGGTTCTCTGATGCCCACCTGACGTTGAATTTGGTGGGACTGGCCTGGAGAGGACTCCGAGGGGCCAGGGGCCTCTTCCTGTCTCCCGGGCACAGACAGGACCTGCTCGCTGGTTGGTCAAGGACCTTACGGGAAGCAGCATGATGTCGTGGAAGGGGCCCCAGCTGTAAGATGAGACACAAGTTCAAATCCTGGTTGCAGTACTTACCTGCTGTGTGACTTGAGCAAAGTTAAACTCTCTACATCTCAGTTTTCTCCTCTGCAAAGTAGAAATATTGTATCTACCTCGCAGAGTAGTCATAAAGAAAAAGCCAATGCAAATCCATAGCATTGGTGCCAGGCCTGTAGGAGGTGCCTCCAGAGGTCTTGCAAAGTTGGAATTTAGTCTTTATGGCTTACTTGCCTTTTCCAACCCTGCTTGTTGTGGCTCAGAAGAGGGGTGGGTGAGGGCATAAGAGTGAATATTTGTTTCCGCCATTGGAGAAACAATGCGAAGGACAGGACGAGTCCTTCAGAGGGGGCTCAGAATATTTTTATGCAGGATGCTGCTTTATGATTCTGTTCTGTGCTTTAAGAAGAAACACAACAAAAGGAGCTCATGGGTATCCTAGAGCAGTCTGCTGCTGCATTCTCAGTGAAAGCCACTCATCTCCTCTAACAATGAAATTGTGATGCATTTAAACTCAGTGTAAATATTCACCTCTCTCCTTTAGATCCATTATATACAAGGTGAGGTGACCCTTCTCTGTCATTTCCCATCAAGCTATAAATCCACAGCAGTTCCTTCCCCATCACAACTTGTAGCTCACTTCAGGGATCCCCTCCCGCATGGGATATGCAGCGACAGGACTAGTGTGATGGAGGGGGCCTTCTGGCCATCCTCAAAGCCCCTCCGTATTTCTGGCAGGCTCCCCTTGCTTGTCTTGTCAACCAGCATCTGAAGTCATGATTCCCATCAGTCTCCCTCCCAGTCCTGTGATAGAACAACCACAACTGCCATGTTTTCATAAGGTTTCTATGATCTGACGCTAGTCTTCGTAGGTACCTCCAACCCTATAATGTAATCTGAGGGCACCTCAGGGCTTCTTAGGACGTCTGAATTAAAAGAGAAAGCCAGAAAGGATGCAAGGGATACCTTTTTATGTCTTTTATTTACGGTCCTTGTCACCAGCTGTAAGGGTGGAAGGGAGAATTTTGAACTCTGCACCTGGTTTAGGAATGAGGAGACCAGGAAGGTGAGAAATGCCTGGGAGAGGGGATGACCTTAAGCTGACTCGGTGTGTGACACCTCCAACGTCCTGTCAGCAGGAGGCTAAGGCCTCAGTATCTTCCCATCCTTGTTTCTCTGGAGCCCCAGCCCTTCCCAAGCATGACCTCGAGCATGGAAACTCAACTCTGCAGACCACCGGCCCCACCACTCATCAGTGGAGACATGTCACAGCTCAAGCAGGACTCAGGATAGCCCCCTCAAAGCCATGTTGCACAGAGATTAGGCTTTGTGCAAATTTTAGTTCTAGAATTCAGGAACGTTTGTGACTAAACATAGGGGAACACAGGTCAAGAAGCAAAATATCTTGTTCAGAATGCCTTGGGCAAATCTATTGCTTTAAAATTTCTATTCACGTTCCTTGCCCAGTCGTGCTGCATTATTGATCTCAGTGTTTTTCTCACCGATTTGTTGAGCTTTTATGTGTCAATATAAAACCCTTTGTAATTTGACGCAAATAATTTTTTTTTACAGTTTGTTGTTTATCCTTTAATTTTTTTTTTTTGGCACACAGAAGCTGTATACTTTCAGGTGATCAATTGTTTTTATCTTTTCCTTTGTGATTTTTATATCACTTTTTCATCTCCATCCATTTACCAGAGAAAATATTAAATACGTATCTATATTTTATTGGGAAGGAATGTTGTGGACGTTTTTTAACATTTAACTCTTCAACTCATATCAAATTGATTTTAGCATATGGTATAAAGTGAAGACATTTTTTTTTCCCCAAGTAATACCTTGTACCAGGAACTTAACCATAATTAGCAGCCATTTATAATATCCTACTGGGGTGCTGTGGAAGCCATAATAATGAGGAAAATATATCGCTGCCCCCATGGGACCAGCCTTACCAATGAAGTGAAATTCAGCTGATTTCACAAGCCCATGGCAAGCAGAAGGTGTCAGCAAAGGGTACACACTGACCTCTGGCTGCGGCAGAAGGAGGAAGCACCGTCCATCCTGGCCTAGTGCCCTGTTCACAACTCAGACAGAACCTCCGGTTCTTTCTCAGGCTGACGTTTGGCTGCTAAGTTGGCAAGCAGCGTAAAGTTGCCTCCCCTGAACACACCACTGATGACAAGCTAATCCTATTTGATACACAGCAGCCACTTGAAATAATTGTTAAAATTGTATTGTAAAGCATCGGCTGTTTTATATTGACAAGTGGCCATTTCTCAAGGCCTGGAGTCAGAGTCTGAGATACTCTGAATTTACCATAAGTTAGGGAAGTGGGAGGGATGGGGGATGGTAAGACTGCAAGCGTAGAGCCCACCAGCATTTCGAGGTTGTGGAACAGGTTCTTGGAGATGTCACGATGTGTCTTTGGATGACCTTTTTAAGAGCACAGTACCCGCATCTGGGGTACTTAGTGGAGAGTCCTGCATTGGCGCAGCCAGAATACCTGATTCCTCCAGCAAGAGAACTGCAAGGAAGCAGTGCTGATCCGAGACCTGATTGGCTTCATGTTAAACACTGTGTCCACCGCCTGGGGCTTGACGCAGCTCCCAATTTCAACTGTCCTTAAGACCAGTGGTTATTGGACTGTGGAAAACACACCATCTTTGGGTAGATGAGAGGGAGTGTTTGCTGTGGAGTTGTTTCCCAGCCAAGGAGACACACTCTGGAAGGAGATTCCCTTGTATGGTATCAGACTGGGGTCAAATGACAAAAGTGTAAAATTATTTGTTTTTGCTCTTTTGTAAACTGGTGGTTGAGCATGCAGGGTGCCACACACAGGGAGTGAGCCGCCTTGGTTATCTTCCTTGAGTAGTATGTGCTGGACATTTCCCAAGAGCAAAAATACAGTATGAGAAAGTAGCAGGATATTTGTGTCTTTGACAGTTTTATAAAAGAGTCTTAAAAGGGAGGCTCTTAAACGGTGTGGTTAAAATTACTTATTTACAAGGCTGTTCATAAACTGTGAAGAAAGCATGCCTCCATTCCAGAGATCACAGGAAATAAAATGAACTAAATCAAGATTTATGGTCAGTAGAATGGTGTGTGGTCTGCATAAATGAGTACTCAAGTTCCTTTAAAATGTGTGAGAGGCTGTGTGAAATTTTGCTGTATAAGAATATAAGCTAATATGTTCTTGGTGGGTGGTTTACAGCTGATGGTATGTAGCTCACTTATTTAGTGTCAAGGTTTTTAAAAAATGTTTAGCTCTTTTGCACATTTCAGGATGATTGGAAGTCTTTCTAGAACAACCCTCACTTGTGGAAAATCATTGTTTTCTTTGTAAACACAGAAAAGGTCTTTGCAAAATGAGTTGAAAGTTAGGGAGAGAGCACAGTCTGAAGTGATTAGATAGGCATACTTCAGAGCTCGACTTAACTCCTGTCAGTGGTATCTCGAGATTTTGTAATTAGATTCCAGTCATCTAAAAATCAATGCTTTGTTCTTCTTCCTTTTAGGAAAAACTGTGTCTGCCCCATCACATCCTTGAAGAGAAAGGCCTGGTCAAAGTGGGCATCACCGTTCAAGCATTGCTAGATGTAACTGTAACAAAGGCTCTATTCACATGAGACCAACTCCTCTCCTTTGGGTCGTGGCTCAGACGTTTTTCCGGTCAGAGATCCTAAACTCTCCTCTCAGCACCTGCCCCCTCCAACCTCCCACTCACTGCTTGTCAGTTCCCCGACTCTAGTTGAATTGACGGGAGGACACAAAAGAAGATTTTCTACCTTTCATAACTGACTCTGACATTAAGACCTGACAGGTATTTGCCTAAAATCCCGTGAGGGAGCTGGTTGTGAAGGACCAAGCAGCTCATCAATGCCTTCTACAACCTCCTTCATCCCTTCCATGCTCACCCACTGCCATTACCAAAACACCAAGCACAGCCGTTTTGCAGCAAGATGCATTTGTTTTATTAAAACCAAACGCAATGTGTATTTTGGGGGGGGTGGGGAGGGGAACTTGCAGTCAGGTTTTTTGCCACCAAATTTTTCAAGAAGTTTCTTGAGACCATTGCCTTTTAAAAAAACTATTTTCGACATACAAAATATTTATATAAATATTATTTATTAGTGAGTTGTTATTCATCCTTTGGATGCAAATTGTAAATTAGGAAACTATTTTATTACTGCTTTTTTGTGGTTAAACACTTTATTTTAATATTATAAATATTGAGTTATTTTCTATCCTCTTTGGTGTGCAAGTAGTTCTAGGTCTCCATAGTCATGTTTTCTGGTGTATTTGACTCAAAAAAAAAAAAATTAAGCAAAAAGCAGGTGCTTCTGTGACAAGAACTATTTTCTGGGGGAGGCGTTATTTATACTTTGGTTTCTGGAACATTGGTCTTATTTATATTTTCTGCATTCCATCCAGCTTCCTACATTCCAGCAGCCCTGTTGTCCCCTGATATAATGAACTGACAGAAATCAAGAGAGCACCCCAACGTTGTTTGTAAATAGCTGTGATGGAAAAAAAAAAAGACATATTAAACTTGAAGATAAAATGTGAACAGTTATTTTTTTGGGTTCATACTTACTTTGCTATGCACAAAACATTCACGTTTTAACATGAAGAAGTAACAAGTGTTGGCGTCATGTGTCTTGTGGTGTAATTTTGCACTGTAACTTGGGTAATTAAAAGTGTAGCACCAAAGGTAGATAATAAAGGAAGTGGTATAGGAAAGTGGAGATGAGAAAAAGGTTATCGTTTACCTGAGAAGTTTTTTAAGGGCCGCTTCGGTGGAGAGTGGTCAAGAATTAACTGAAGGTGTATAGGACTTGGATCAGGAGACCAGCACTTTTTGCAGCTGCCCGTTTTAAAAGAGGAAACTATTCTGAGATGTAGACGTGCTTGTTTTATTGCAGCTTAGTTGGTGGATTTCAAAGTAGTCCGTCAAACAGGGCAAGATTCACTGCCTCTGGCGTGAAACCGCGGGAGTGAGTCAGTAAAGCGGTGGAGTAGTTGCATGCAAGAGCAAGGCGGGCTCAGGAGAAGGTGAAGTAAGTAGCGTTTGTGAGGCTGAGTGGCCCAGGAGGGAGCAAGTTCAGAGAAAGCAATGACTAGAGAAAATCCAGCTAAGGAAAGGGGTCCGTGCTGGTCTGAGAGAGTCACATAAGACTTCACAGACACACAACCTATTTTAGGCAGTTACGTGCGCGTGCACTCGCACCGCAGTTACAGACAGCCCAGTAATTCGTCTTTCAGCATCTTGCGAATGCTGACTGCATCGTCACCTCTGTGAAAAGCCATTGTAAGTTTTTAGAGCAGCAGCCACGAGTTATAAGCCAAATATAAAGGCGAACACAAAAGAAAAGACACCAGGAGGACAGTATGCGTTGAAATTGAACACAGACTTACATCAGCCAACGCCAAGGCTGCCCCCCTGTCTAGGCAAGGAGGGAGGGGTTACTGAAAATAGTCATTTGGATTGGCAGCTAGCAGTTACTTCCTATCAAATGTACTGTGCACTTTAACCGAGTTTAAAATATATTTTAATATTTTCCTGTACTGCACAAATACCTGTTTTGTCCAATAGCATAATGGTGTAAAAAAGAAAACACTCTGAACGAAGAGCGTATTCAGTGTAAGCGACAGCCAGAGGTTGATTATAGAAATAGGAATTCAGATGACTGCACCTTGATGGGCACTGAGAATGCAGGGTCCTGAAATATTTTTTTTTTTTACATGTATATATGGCAACATGAAGCTCTGTAATCCTTGTTTTGAGAGATTTTCTTTTTCAAAATTAAAATATTTCTTTTGATATTGATTTCAGTATTTTCTTGCGGTTGGCTGTATAATATGAATGGCTTCAATATTTTGTAAAATGGCTTTTTTTTCTTCGAAATGCAGTCCTCGTATGGCTAAGACGTCTTCGAGATCTTCGTCCATTGTTCATATGTGCAATAAGATGCGCGTGGCCGGCTGACAGCACCCTAAGTGAACACAATGTGCACGGTGCAAATACCCTTCCTTTTATGATTTAACAGCCATTAAAACTTTGAATTTGTACAAACCATCTTCTGATTGACGTACCCATCAGTTGCCGTGGTGGAGTCCAGGTGTACGTCAGGTGTCTCCACCTGTCCCTCGGGTGGTGGCTCCAGAAGTGTTTTCAAGGAAACCTGAAGGTTCTGTGGCACATGTTGTGAAACCCCAGGGTCTGGTCCTCTCTCTCAACTGTCTCCTGTGGAATCTGACCCTCAGGGAGTAAAGTGGCTTCCTGATTATACCTCCCATAAATCCGGGTCGGTGTTACCATTTTCCCCGCACGTCCCGCCCACCTCTGGTAGAAGAGCAGCTGCTTTGAGGAATTCAAGGGAAAACCGTGACGTGTCGTTTCTGCCTTCTCGTCCCAACCCACACAGAGCGCACAAGACTCGAGACTCACAGCCTGAGCAGGGACAGCAGGGACCAGTGTCAGGGCCTCTACGTTTAAGACCCGTATCTACGGAGTCAGGAAGAGCTATGCCTTGCCTGTGATGTTCTGACTAAAAGTGCTGCAACTGTGCCCACCTCCGAGAGCTTAGCCCTCTTGGTCTCTTGCGCATTACAGAAGTCCAGTGCTTCACAGACACTTTGCATTGTAAGTTGGCTGGAGCAACTGGGAATGTGTGAAGGACAAGGGAAGGGATGGCAGCGGGAGTACTGGGGGAGCCTGGCAGGGGCATGTTTGCATTAGGGTCACCCATGCAGCTCAGCCATATGGCATAGGCCACAGCTGGGGACTGTCCCAGAGACTGAATTCTAGCCAACAGCTGCATCTGGGGACTTCCTAGTTCTTCCTGAGTGAACCTGAGAGATGGGGCAGCAATGACCCCAGTGGGACTGGTTATCTAATCTTCCGTCTTCCACTGGCAGTCAGCTGGCAGACATCAGGTCCCGTTGAGGGTGGGTGTGTGTATGCAGGATTTCACTCTAAAGAACTCTCTCTACTCCCCGCACTCACATGCTAATGGGCCACCTTAATGGCCAGTATGTATTGAGTGGTTACTGTGAGCCAAGTGTTTCTTCTGAACTATAACCTCCATTAAAAGAAGGCTGCTTGTCTATTTGGTTCTCTGCTGATTCTCCCTCCATTGCTTAGAAAGCACTTATCATGTAGCAGGCATTGGAGAGGTGCCAGTTAGAGGAGTTAATGAACTTTACATACATTATCTCAAAAAACTCTTACCAAAATGCAATAAGGAAGGGACTTGTAGTAGACACCCGTGGGGTTGCCCCCTAAGACCACGTGCTTCTAGGAACTAACCCTGCATCCTATACCATGAGGTTTTGTATGGGTTTATTTGTTTGTGTTTTCTTGGGCTGCACTGCATGGCATGCAGGATCTTAGTTCCCCAACGAGGGATTGAACCTGTGGCCGCTGCGGTGGGAGCGCAGATCCCTAACCGCTGTACCGCCAGGGCATTCTCTATGTGGTTCTTTTTTTAAATTTTATTTATTTATGTATTTATTTATTTTTGGCTGCGTTGGGTCTTTGTTGCTGCGCGCGGGCTTTCTGTAGTTGCAGCGAGTGGGGGCTACTCTTCGTTGCGGTGCGCGGGCTTCTCATTGCTGTGGCTTCTCTTGTTGCGGAGCATGGGCTCCAGGTGCATGGGCTTCAGTAGTTGTGGCACATGGACTCAGTAGTTGTGGCTCTCGGGCTCTAGAGCACAGGCTCAGTAGTTGTGGCGCACAGGCTTAGTTGCTCCGCGGCGTGTGGGATCTTCCCGGACCAGGGCTCGAACCCGTGTTCCCTGCATTGGCAGGCGGATGCTTAACCACTGTGCCACCAGGGAAATCCCTCTATGTGGTTCTTAACTGATGCTGCCCACCCGGCTGAGGAGCAGCCCTCCTATTCACAATTGACCAATAAGTCTCTTGCAGGATTTTAATTCTTTCCTGGTGACTGAAGACAGAAGACATAAAACCTGGAAAACACCTAGAGGATAAAAATGACATGCAGGGAGAAGTAGCAGAGAAAACTCTGCTGTTTGCATTCCTGGATCCAGTAGTAAAGAGTCCTGTATTTCTGAAGCTTTTGTAGTCAAACCTTCCGTGAGTGCTTCCAAGAGGCTATGACTTTGCATCAAATCAACTTGAGCTGGGCTTCTATCACTTCTAATCTAACAGTGCAAATTAACAAGGAGAAACTGAGACTCAAGAGTATTCAAGTCACTCATTCAAGGTCACAGCAGGTGAGAGAGCAAGGCGGAGTCAAGTTCAGCTGTGTCAGGCCTATGTCCTTTTCACCATGCAGAAGGGCTTCCCAGCAGAGCTAACCCAGGTGAAGTTTCTAGAGTTAGAAGAAAAAAAAGTCGACATTAATTAAGATGTTTGGAGATACAAAAGAAAGCATATTTATATAATAAAGCCTGTTAAGCTGAGCTTGTTGGGACCAGTCCAGATGCTAAGTAACACAGGTCAAGGTCAGAGCAAAAAGTGCAGGAAAAAAAGAGATTTACAAGACAAGCACAGTGAGAGGAAGCACTCCTCACTTTGATGTGAGGTCCAGGAAGAAGCCTCTCGTTTCCTTGCCATTTTTGTCTCCCAGTTTAATAAAACATTGCTGTAATTTTTTTTATATTTGGGAACTTTTCTTTCTGTTTATCAAAGTGATACATGTTCATCATAGAAACTTGGGAAAGTATAAAGAGGTAGGGGAAAATCACCAGTAATCCCACCTTAAGGGAACTGTTAAACTTTTGAAATATTTTCTTTGAGATATTGCTATGTATTTTTACACAGTACAACTTTATATACTGGCCTTTTTCTCCCCCTTGTTAATGGTAGAGCATACGCATTTTTCCAGGACAGTACTGTTTGCTGAAAGAAATTGTGGGCACTAAGGCATTAATAGGATATTTTAGAGGCTTCCTCTAGAAGCACCTAGAAGAGTGTCTAGTTCCTAGAAGCATGGTATTAGGTGGACAATACCTAAAAGAAGCAGACATACCCTGAGATAAGGGTAAGGGCCCTTAGGTCTTCGGTGATAGGGAGCCAGCCAGGGTGTGTGTGTGGGGGGGGTGGTGGTGCATGGAGGTGGGAATGGGGAAGTACCATCAGGAAGAGGTGGCCGATAGGGGGTGCATTCTAGAATGTGGCCACTAAGGGGGTGCATTCTTAAACCAGCTCCACAGTGAGCCACTGAAGCTCAATCCTGGAGAAGCTTTGAGAAATGGTATAGAACACCTCACACTTCAGAATTATCCCAGTCAAGCTCCCAGGAGGGAGGGGAAATATTCATAGCCCTGAAAAACCTCCCTCAACAACATGCCTAGAAATGCTTAAAAAATAAATAGTACACATTTAAATGCTTTGGTTATTATAGGAAAATAAGGAAATGCCCAGGCTGTAAAGAACAGAACACTCAAGTGGCGTAACCAAGATAGAAATTTATTTTTCTTACGTGTAAAAGAAGTCCTAGACCAGAGGTGAGCTGCCAGAGCTGAGATGGGTTCCCTTGTCATCAAGAGTCCAGGCTTCTCAGTGCTGCCTTCTAATGGGTGATCAGTCCACTTGGTAAAGGCACTTGAGGAAGAATCATCCAAGTAGGTAAGCAGAACCTTCCCTCAATGGTACCGGAAATCTGTGTCAATATATACCCAGGGCTAAGACAGCTGTGTTCAACCAAAAGATCTTCGTGTTAAGAAGTACACATGTTAATGGGCGGAGGACACTGTCCTGTCAGGCGGGTCTGGAGCTGAGAATCATTGCATTGAGCACAGGGTCACTGAGAAGGCGGGACAAACGTCCTCAGGAAGAGGGCAAAGAGGCCTTTTCTAAGTCAGGTGATGAGACCAAAGGAATGGGAGGCAGTTACCTGGAGAAAGTCCATCTTACTACTATTCTCTGTGCTTGTCAAACGCTGGATTTGGAGGTCAATTGGTAACAGCAACACTCATGAAAAAGTGGCTGAGGGTTTGGACAGTGCGGCGGGGCAGTCATTGGTATTTCTGCAGGATCAAACGGGGTAGGATGGGGTAGGATTGGGGAGGAAAAGTGGGTAGGGGTAGGCTGCCTGCTTTCCCCAGTGATTAGACCTGCCAAAGTAAATAAAATTGAGTACTTGGCCAATAAACGCTCCCTAACAACTATTGCTTATCTTTGAGAAGTAAAAGAAAGTATTTGATCTCTTGGAATTTGATCCCCACGTAAATATCCGCTATAGTCACAAGAGCTGGGGGCTGGGGACAGAGGAGAAGACGCCTTTGCTGCCTGAGGAAGGCTCCGCGCAGCCTCTGTTGAGCGTGGCGTGTGTTAGGTGTGTGTTAAGCGAAAACACCGCTACATATTCTTGTTGCTTAACTGGATACAACTCTGCTTGGAAGTTAAGGTTGACTTGTGTCCTTTGGCTCTTTTCTTACTTTCTGATTCACTTCTTCAAATTGCTGTCTAACATCTCCTTCAGTCTGCTGTCAGCTTGTCTCTTCATTTACAGGGAAAATGGAGGCCATCAGATGTGAACTGTCAAATCATTTCCTGTCTTGGAGGAAAAAAATGACCCCTCACCCTTCCAAGGTTAGACACCCACTCCGCAACTGCAGGGGATTTTGTGGGATTGTCTCTCTCTGTCTCTGTCTCTCCTACCTCCTCCCTCCCGTCTTCTCCAACCTCTCCTCTCCATCTGTCGTGATTCAGCCACAAGTTCAAGCCTTACCAGCCCATAAGAAACACTTCCCTTGAGTTCACCTTTCTGCTCAAAAAACTGTCTAGTCTCTTGTCTTCCCAGACCCTTAGGGAATGTTCTTTGAAGAGTAGTCTGTGAACAATACTGGCGTGCATGCTCCATGAGCCCAGGAGTCTGTGTTTTGTTTACTGCCCTACCCTTGAGGCCTGGACAGTGCCTGATACGTAATAGGTGCTTGATAAGTATTTGTGGAGTAAATGAACAAATGCCTTCACTTTCCATTCATTTTCCCTGCTATCCTCACCACTCCATTGAAAACACTCATAATAACGTCATGGGTCCCATCCCAATTACCAGATCCAGTGGCCTCTTTTCAGTCCTTGTTCTAGTTGATCCTCCTGTAGAATTTGGGATGGTTGAGCCCTTGATGCTTGAAACCCAAGCTTTCTCTTCTGGTGCTATTTTTCTGTCTCAGAGTGGGGTTTTTTTTCCCCATTTTCTTCATAGTCTCCACTTTCTGTTCTTTTCTTTTTTTTTCTTTAAGGAGGAATGCTTGGCACTCTTCCATCCATGCCAGAGATATCTGGTGGTGATCAACAGCGGCAATGATGTATAAATCTACATATCTTTACGATTCTAGATCCTGCTTCCTCTCTGACATCCAGAATGATGTAACTCTGGGTGTCTTCACTTGGATGTCCTTGTGAAGGTCATCCACTTGGAGGTTCTTCAAACTTAATGTATTTGAAATTGAACTCCCCCTCTACCTTCCCAAACCTCTTCTTTTTCTCATGTATTTCCTGATTCAATGTTTTCACCACCTCCCCAGCCTCCCAGGCTAGACACTGTAGGGTCATCACTGGTGTGTCCCTTTCAGTTGGTCACTAAACCATGTAGATCCAGAAACATCTCTCAGCCCCAGCACCCTCTCTTCATCCCTACCACCTTAGTGCCAGCCCTCATCCGCTCTCCCCGAGATGAGGTCCATCTGGTCTCCCTGTCTCCCTCATTTTTACTACCTTCCCCTTCGACCACAATAATGTGAATAAAGCACAAGTCTTAGCATGTCTCTTCCCTACTGGAAACACCTTCAGTACCTCGCTATTACTTGTTCAACAGGTTTCAGTTCCATGGATACCTTTCCAACCTATTAACAATTTGCTAACATCGCCTGGTGCAGCTCGGCCAGTCTCCCCCTACCCCCCAACCCTGCCAGGGTCTCTGATGTCTTTGTTTCCTGGGCTATGCTTGCTGCTTAGAATGTCCTCTCACCTCTTCTTGACTTTGCAAAGTGCTACCCAGGCTTGAAGACCCAATGTTGTAGGCCCAATGCTTTTCATTTCGGTGAACTTTCCCCTCCCCCTCCACATGATTTCTTTCTCCTTGGCACTCCTGAAAAAAGAATCCATTCTGCTGTAGTTGAATGTTTGTTTCCTAATAAACCTCTTTTATCAAGTTCATATTAGACAAATAATAATTTCAGTGGGGAAAAGGGCATAAGACCCACAATAATTTATCTGTTCTCTTATAGGAAACTTAATAATCAGAGCAGTCACAGATCCAAGCGATGAAGAAAACGAAATACAATAGCTGATGATTATTGAGTAGTTATGACCTGACTGGCCCTGTTCAAGGTTTGTACTGTAAGTCTCACAGCAGCCCTATGAGGTAGCACCTACAATAATCTCTCAGCCTGGACTTTGTGCAATGAGCCAGATCAGAACAACTGAATAAGGCTGGACTATTAGCAGGATTATTTTAGAATTTATATTTAAAAATCAAATTGATCGTTCCTACAGCTGTGTACAGCTTCTCTGCTCTATGACCAAGACATGGGCTGCGTTGTTCTACATTGAAGACAGGAAATTTCTATAGTCCGTCAGGTTTTCTTTATATATAACCAAAAAAAAAAGAGTTATTTGCTATTTATTCTGGAACACTTTTTTTTACTGTGTGGTCTGCTGTACTTCTCCTAATCAAAACACTGGGTGGCAGTGTTTTTACTGAAATGATTTTAGAAGAAAACCAAAAGGACTAAGTTTTAGTCTTTTGAGAATAACAATCCTATTTATCCAGCAATGACCAAAAAGGCAATACACCGTCAATCCATCACCTGAACAACCTGTGCTCAATATTACAACTCTGCATGCAGGGGTTAAACACACACGCGCGCGCGCGCACACACACACACACACACCCCTAGCTAGATTTCAGAAAGTTTTCTGAAATACCATCTTGATAAATTAAAAAAAAAAAAAGTCTCCTGTCTCACTCAGTTCTCACCTCCAAGCCTCATTTTCCATTCATATTTGAATTTGTCCAACAAACCCAATAAGATGAAAATGTTATTTGACTGGTTGAATACATACTGCTATCATCCCAAAGAGGAAGTGCTAGGATTCTTCTCTTCTTCACCCCTACTATCACTCATTAAGCATCACCAGTGGCGGGAGACTGACACCTGGTGCCAAAGAGACGAGAAGGAAACGGGAAATTCATTGCTCTTGGATTGGAGTCCTGGACTCAGGCCAAATACTACAAGGATCTAGATTCCTTTTATTATCTTTGAAGACCAAAAGGACATTTTCTCTGGATTGGCCAGGGCTACTAAAAGATGTGAAGAAGTTTATGAGCTATGTTTTCCTGGAGGAAAATATTTTATTTCTACAGCCAAGCAGCCTGGGAACAGGCAAAGTACATATTAATAGCACAGCAGATTTTCTGTGTTGGTCCTCACAGACTCTTTTCTTTTACACACAAAGCTGTGGTAGGGACCTTTGGGGGTCTCACACTTGCCGCATGTATCCCCAGCATATGAACTATTTCCGTATAATTGTATGTATTAACATACCACAGTGTTATGTATATTATAAAGCATGCCGAAAAATACACATCTTAGCAGGAGGGAATGATATAAAAATTAACACAGGCAGAAGCTCTGCTACACTCCCGTGGACAGTCTCGTGCACTCTCCTTAGAGAGCACTCCTCGCTTTGGAGTCCACTGGCACTAAAGCACTGGTCACTAACGTCTGGGTAGGAAGAGAGTGATTTCATACGGGCATCTTGTCTTGCTATGCTCCACGGTCCTGTGAGTTAGAGGGTGAAGGGGCTCTTGTTCACACCATTTCCAGATGAGGAATCAGCCTGATAAGGATGAAATAAGCTGCCCAAGGTACCTACGGAAGCAAGACACATATCAGGTTTTCTTCTTCTGCAAGTATCATTATCATAATTCTTTTCTTAAAGAGTGTTTTTGAATCAGAACTTAAATCCTCAAGACTGTAAAGAAAGTAAGAAGCATAAAGATGTTGGCACAGATTGGTGTAAGCACTGTTTTATCTTCTTGGCTTTCAACGTTTATTAAACATTAATGTTTAAAATTCATGTTTTACAACTCGAAATATACATAAATAACTTGTTTGTGAAAATGATCTTATCCATCAAAAGTAAACCCCCTTTGCCTGTCATCCAACATGTATGTCCAACGTGGCCAAATACAAGACAACCTTGAACAGGAGGAAGCCTGCATTTTTCTGATGAGAATATGCAAAAAAAGTTGTTTGGCTAATTTGAAATATGTTTATGAACACTTCAATACAAAATTCGTGTCTATTTTTCACAGCTTAGTATGACACATATTAAAAATATTTTTTAAAACATCAGCTTGGAATTTTTCCACTGTAAGTTTTCAAGAAATAATTTTATCCAGACTCTTGCATCTTCAAAATTAGAGAACTCACAAGCCATCATGCATCACCTTCACATCTAAGTGGTTTCTAAGTGAGATACAACATTACTTGAATCTATAAATGATATGGCCACTGGAAATTGTATCCTCTCAAATAAGCATCCTGGTATATTGTCAGGAATTTTTTCTTCTTCATGCAGTAGTATATCTATGATCTCCACATCGTGACTACTTAATAGATTTTTACGTAAACTTCTCTAAAGTATAACACATATGAAAAAGTGTATAAATCTTAAGTATATGGCTTGATGAATTTTCAAAGTGAACACACCCATGCGACAAGTACCTAGATGAAGAGTGTCACTAGTCCCCTAAAGGACCTTGCACGTGACTCTCTAATCACCTCTGCCTAGGGCCCGCCCCTCCCCCTGCTATCCGTAACCCCATCCTGACTTCTAACGTCACGGATGAGTTTTGCCTGGCTTGGATCCTTATATGAAAAGGTACAAAATGATTTATACAGTTTATATTTTGTATTTGATTCTTCCACTCAAGATTGTGTGAGACGTCCTCCGTGTCGCTGCATCTAGTTTTAGTGTGTTCGTTAATGTGGACAATTCCACTGGATGAATACTCTGATTTTACCCATTCTCTTGTAGATGGGCATCTGGGTTGTTTCCAGATTCGGGCTATTAGGAGCAGTGTTGCTCTGAACATTCTCATGTAGGTTTTACATACACGTTTCTGTTGGGTAAACCTCGGGTGGAATCATTAGGAAGGGCCATATGTTCGATCTCAGCAAACCCTGCCTGTTACACTCCCATTAGCAGGTCATCATACAGCCAGGCCAACACTTGGGATTTCTGTTGTCTTAACTTTAGCCATTCAGGTAGGTTTGTAGTGGCGTTTTTTTGTTTCCATTTCCCTGATCTTTATGAAGTTAAGCACGTTTTCGTGTATTTATTAGTCATACTTATGTCCTATTTTGTTAAGTACCTAATTGAATCTTTTGCCCATTTTTCTGTTGGTTTATCTTTTAAAAAATGAATTTATGGAGCTCTTTATATATTCTAGATACAAGTTCTTTCAGATACCTATATTGTAAGCACCTCTACCCACTACATGGCTTGCCGCTACTAGTAATGGTGGCTTTACTGTATCGTGTTGTTTCTTAAGGGGATCTTAACGAGGGTTTTACAACATTTATAGTGATCCAGGAAATCTGTCAATTCCTTTGCCTCCTTTTATATCTGATTCTGTCAGGTGACGTTTGGAAGCAAACAAAACTAGTATTAGGAGTTCATTTGTAGGTTATTTGTTGTTTATTATAAAGTCATTGAGATGGTTCCTTATTGAGAGACTTTGAGAATTTTTTCTGGTGGGGGAAACATCTTACAGGTATATATGAGAATTCGTACCTCCCCAGGTCAGTGTTTGTGGCACGTAAAAGCAAGTTAAAATTTATTTGCTCCCTATATCTCCTCCATGGTCAATTCTGTATTGTAACTGAAGGCTTTTGTCTTTATTAGTTATCATTGGCTATATGTTAGCAATTATTTACTGAGTATTTAAATGTTTCTGCATTTACCCTGCAAAAAGGCAAAGCAACTCTTTTCTTATAATGGTGCGCCAACTTGGCAAGGTAATAGTTCCCGGTTATTCAGTTAAACACTAATCTAGGTGTTACTATGAAGGGATTTTGCAGATATGATCAAAGTCCCTAATCAACTGAATTTAAATAAGGAAGATTATCCTGGATAATCTGGTGGGCCTTACTGTTAGAAGGCCTTAAAAGCAAGACTGAATGAGGCTGAGAGAGAAGTTCCACCTGTGGACAACAGCTTCCGCCCAGCCCACGAAGTCTCATCCCACTCTTGGACTTCCCTTCCTGATGGCCTGTCTTTTGGATTTTGGACTTGCTTAGCCAGCCCTTCCAATCACATAAGCCAAGTCCCTGTAAAAAAATCTCTTAACGTACATATCTACTACTAGTTCTGTTTCTTTGGTTAAATCCTCAACTAATACAAAGATCATAGGATCACACAACTGTTTTTCTTTACAAAGGAATTACCAACAAGGTGCAAAAAATTTGTGAATTAAAAAATTTGTCTTGTTAGAGGACACAAGTCTGTTTAGACTTAGAACCACTTTGTGTGTAGCGCACTGTAGGGCTCAATCTTGACTACTGATATTTATTTTTATTGTTTAATATTTATTTATTTGGCCGCTCTTGTGTAGCTCACCGTAGGGCTCAATCTTGACTAATATTTATTTTTATTTTTAAATATTTATTTATTTATTTGGTCTTAGCTGCAGCACGCGGGATCTTCGTTGCCGCATCCAGGATCTTTTAGTTGTGGCACGTGGGCTCTAGTTCCCTGACCAGGGATGGAACCTGGCTCCCCTGTGTTGGGAGCGCAGAGTCTTAACCACTGGACCATCAGGGAAGTCCCTTGACTACTGATAATTTAAATAGTACGAATTAAAAAATTTTAGTACTAATTCACATTTACATAGTACTTATTTTATAACTTTAAGAACCTGATGTCTTCCTCAATTACCATGTAATACACATTCTTATTGAATGTTTAAAATGTATAACTTTTGTGCTCTTTTAACAGAAAAATATATTTCTTTTAAAACAACCAGGGGACTTCCCTGGCGGTCCAGTGATTAGGACACGGTGTTTTCACTGCTGAGGTCCCAGGTTCAATCCCTGGTCATTGGGAGTGTCCATTTAAGTTTTTAAGGAACACACTTTGGTATTTACAAGTTCTTGGCGAGCTCATCAAGCTAAATTTCTGCATGTAACTAAAGGAAAATATCTTCTACAGTAACATATGAAACAAGTTTCCTTATCTAACTAATTTCAGATTGAATCTGGTATTCAATTCCTGTCTCTTGAGAGAGGTCCATAAACCAATGTCCACAAATCTATTTGACTCAACAGGTAAGAAAAGAAATATCATTGATTGGGCTCCGGAAGTATGACTTCTAATCTTAGTTCTCGCACAAATAACTGTGTAATGATGGGGAATTCATTTAACCTTTCTGACCCTACTTGCTTATTCAACAACTAACAAATAGTTATTCAATTCAGTGACTACTAGAAGCGCGCCAAGTGGTTGCTAGACACTAGGTGTGTAACAATGAACAGGAAGAAGACAGGCCACGCCTTCAGAGGCTTAAAGTCTGGAAAGGTGAGGAGTTTAGGCTAAACTACCTTTAAGCTCTCTGTTCCAGAGTTAGCATTTAATGATTTCAATGGGATTATATTCATATTCTGTGCCCTGAGGTCAACACAACAATGATTTCCAAATTACCTCGAGAAAACTGTGAAGTATTAAATATTTCCCATGTGAACACTGGTAAGGTAACTTTTTAAATCAGAAGCAGGTTTGATTTATTTATTTAGAGGGTGATTCAACTACAGAATGAAGCATTTTTGGCACTGCAAAATCCAATGTTTTAAAATCTTTTTTCCTTGCCAGTCTGTTTATTACAATTTTATCATCCTGAAGAGATTCTCTTATCCGAAGCTTTTCAAGCATTCAGGTATTTTGCATGATGTCTGATGTGATCGGTAATAAAGGTTGCAATGAAGTAGTAGCTATGATCATAACCCTAGAAGACGAAATAGAGATAAGACATTTATCTACTATTCAGAAAAATCGATATTAGGTACATTAAATATATCTTGCATGTCACTTAATTTGCTTATAAATAATCAAACTGTCACAACATGTGGAAGGTTTATAATCAAAGTAAAGCTTATTACACTTGTACTTCAACATTTTCACTGAAAAAAGAGTAGTTGAAAAAAGTTCTAACTCACAAAAGCAATGCACCACCCTCAATAAGGGAATGTTAAGATACAAAATAAGCACACATAAACAATACAGAAAGAACATGAAGAACGCCCAAATGCCCTATCACTGGGAAGTTAAACACAGCCATCATAAATCACGTTAAGAATTCGACCTCCTGCATGGTAAAAGCATACTGTACCTTTATCTGAGGAAAAAGGAAGAACTCATTACACTCTGACATCCCTCAGCAATAAATCAAACTGGGTAAAAAGTCAGTAAACTTTTGAAAACTACCATGAAGCAGAGAGAAAGTGTGCCAAGTAGTTGAGTTGAAACAGATTTCTATCTGGTCATATATAAAATCCTTGATAGGTAATCAATGGTAAATGGAGAGGCAATCCTTTCTCGGAGTGTCCTCTGAGTACAAAATAAGTAGCTCTCAAAGGAAAAAGAAAAGAAAAATAGGGTGGGAAGAGTCAAAGAGTTAAAAACCAGATAATTTGGGGGACAGCCCTTACCTTGCCAAAACACAATTAAAATACAAAATAGAATAATCTGAGAAAGATGAAAGTCTAAGATCGAGCGAATGGTCTCTGATGGGAGGAAAACGGAATTTTTCTAAGCACTTAAGAAACAAAAAAAACCTAATAAAAATATCACCTGGGTTTCAGGGAACAAGGTAAAGTCCCTAAGGTTTTGATGAATCAGTAAATGTTCTCTACCTCTTAGTTGGCAGGGGTATGCAGTGCGTATCTTGGGAACAGCAGTTAATAAAGAGTTCTAGTTTAAAATCATCAAAGTAACTTAAAAGCAATCTGTCTTCTATTTTCAGTGCCCAAACTGTGGAAGTGAATCTGACATGAATGTTGTCAAAATTAAGGCTGAGCCTTGGAACTATTTGGTCTCATGTCTCTCGACGATCAGACCAGTCCCAGTTAAATTAGTTAAATTTAGAGCTGAAGGACAGTTTCTTACATAAAGAAAGTTAAAGAAAAGCATTTTCCACCATGGAATTCTTGAGTTGTTAAGAGGCTAAATATGCCCATGATTTTCAGGCCACAAAACCTGTGAAATATAGTACCAAGTACCCGCCATTTTTCACCGATGATAAGATGGATCTGACTGAAAACAGGTGTAGATGCTTCGAAACACTTGTTAACAGAGATCCTAACGCGACTGACTATGCTGTGTTTTCATGTTTAGTCGCACATATGTTCAGTGTGTTGCAATTTCAGGCACATAGTGGGTAGCCACTATTATTATTATTTATTATTATTATTATTTTATTAGAGAAGTCCCAGAGTAAACCAAAGTGACAATTTTGAGCTCTCAGGGGTGTACTGCAAGATAGCAGTGTGTTTCACCTAAAATACAAAGCAAATGTCCTTCCACGACGATATTTAACTGAAGGTCTACCTTCATGAGAAAATAGAAAATGCCTATCATGAGGAACCAAGAAAGAGTTTTTAAAATATCAACATAAAGGCAAGAGAATACATTTGAATTACTGCCATTCTGGTAGATACAAGACGTTTATATAATTAGAGCTGACTGTGTCATTCTTGGTGAGTTTCAAGCTCTGCTGGTCAATATGATTAAATGGGGGTAGCTCTCTTCATCGAATTCTTTGAATTGGTTTGTATGTTAAGCAGCTTGTGTAACTACGTTCATTAAGTGACACTTGAAAGGGCCTCATTTCCTCTTCTACCTCACACTTGAAATGGAAAAATCCTTGGTAGCAAAACTCTCTTAGAGTATAAAAATAAACGAACTCATTCTTTTATTCTTTGCTCAGTTCTCAAAAAAAGAAGCAGTGCTTCAGTGGCTATGATGAACATTTATTCTAACAGGCAGTATTTTCCTACATATTTTCCAGACCCAATTAGCAAAGCTCAGATATGAATTCCCGAGTTATGAAGTCTCTTCAGAGTACAAAGAAGATGGCTGAAAGCTGCTCATTTGTTTATTCAATAAGCACTTCCTGAGGGTTTATGTGCCAGGTAATTGTGCTAAGCATGGGGATACATATGAGTGAGAGAGCCCTGCACTTCTAGAATTCTGTGCCATGTTCGTACTCTACTCTAACAGGCAGGCACAGAGGCCAAAATAACCTCTGAATCTTCAAAAAGGGCCTGAGACTTGAGAAGGTACTATAGCCTTGCTTCAGTGTTGGTTTCTGGAAGTTTCCATTAGGTCTGAAACTGAAAATGTTTCTTCACTATATTACTCCAATAACTTATAATAAGACATACTAGGCCTTTCCTCTTCAGACTAAGACTTGATCTGTGTATATTGGCTATCAGAATTCTGCTACCTTGTGCATTTTCAATTTAGATTCACTGAAGTGAAAATAGAAAAAGAAAAAATTATGAAGTATAATAAAAACCAAATTAATATCCCTACAGACTACACTTCCCCCTCAATTTTTTTGGACAGTTGATAGAAATGTAGATTGTGAGCATTTAACACCATTAAAAAGAGGAAAATGAATGAAGTTGGGTAAACCATGTACATGATTGCAATAATTTTTTTTTCCTCCCTAGATCACTTATTTATATTACCCACTATTATTTTCAGCTTATTTAATCCTTCACAGCTCCCACTTCATAAAGAAATACAGATCAACTGTACTTATAATCAAGTGCCCTCAGACCTGAGGTAATCTGAAGTCAGTGGAAGTTGGCTTGAAAATCTGAAAAGTTGCTTCCCTGGAGCCAGTGCCCAGGTATGTCCATTCAGTCGCTCATTCAATTACAACAAACCTAAACATAGTCTGCTTCGGACTGTGTAGTTCAGTTTTAACCTGTCCCTGCTGGAAGGAAAGTGAACAGAAAATTGTGCCTGAGCTAAAAACTGTGACTGATGATTTCAATAGTTTCTTGCTTTTTTTTTTTTTTTAAAGAATTGAATGCTTTGCACTGACTCTTCATTCAGTACAGACAACTACGTTTTTCAGTTGCTTGGGATTTAGTCATTTTAGAAATAAGGTGATTTATTTTCTGCCCCCAAGAATTTCATCAGTGTTCTCTGTTGTTTTTATAACAAACTCTAGAGATTTGTCAGTCCTTGTTGGCAGGATGAAACTTGGCTGTTGGTGGCAACAATGAAATTTCCTGGCACAGACACAAGGGAAGCAGAAGAGGCAACAACACCACTAGAGCCAAGAAGTTAACGTCATTTGGAAAAAACATGCTTTGTTACATCACTTAGAGTAATAGTTAATATAAACATACTATTATGTTTATAATCAAATTTGTCAAGGTTGATTATTGATCTAAAACATGTAATTCTGATGATAAATGTTCAAATTAATCTAAAAAAATCTATTTCTATATGATGGATACCCACAAACAAGGTATACATAATGTATTGGTTTTGGACATATTTTCCCACATGATATATATGTATTGTTTACATGTTAAAAATATCAAGGAGATTAAAAGGACATCAGGGAGATTGCTAAGATCTGCTGCATGAGTTAGACAAGTAGCAGCTTATGCACAGCTTCCCCTATGTTAGCTCTAATTCCATCCCTTGGCTCTTCAGGAGTACTGCTTTGCCTTGCTTTGGAATGGTTAGACAGATGAAAGGAGGATAGTATTTGCAATCAGACGACCTTGCTTCCAGGCCTGGTTCCACCATAAACTAGCTGTGTGACCTTAGATAAGTAGGTTACTTTTCTGAGCTTGTCTCCTCATCTGTAAAACAGATGGCCAGGAGTCATGCGTGAAAACCCATAGCAAATGTCATACTTAATGGTAAAATACTGAAAGCTCTTCCTCTAAGATCAGGAATAAGACAGGATGCCCACTTTTATCACTTCTATTCAACATAGTACTGGCAGTTCTAGCCAGAGCAATTTGCAAGAAAAAGAAATAAAGGCATCCAAATTGGAAAGGAAGAGGTAAAATTATCTCTGTCCATAAATAATATGATCTTGTATGTAGAAAACCCTGAACTGCTAGAGCTAATAATTCAGCAAAAGTAGCAGGATAAAAAGTCAAACACAAAAATCAGTTGCATTTCTATATTCTAAAAATGAACAATCTGAAAAGAAAATTATGAAAACAACTCCATTTACAACAGCATCAGAAAGAATACAATACTTAGGAATTAACCAAGAAGATGAGCTACTTGTACAGTGAATAAATCACTGCTGAAAGAAATTAAAGAAGACACAATAAATGGAAACACATCCCAGGTTCATGGTCTGTTAAGGTGTCAAGACTACCCAAAGCAATGTATAGATTCAGTGCAATCCCTATCAAAATTCCAAAGGCAATTTTTGCAGCAACAGGAAAAACCATCCTAAAATTCAAGTGGAATCTCAAGGGAGCCCAAATAGCCAAAACAATCTGGGAAAAAGAAGAAAAAAACCTGAGAACTCATGCTTCCAGATTTCAAAGTTTTCTACAAAGCTACAGTAATCAAAAAGTGTGGTAACTGGTATAAAGACAGACATATAGACCAATGGAATAGAATAGAGAGCCCATAAATAAACCCTGGAATATATGGTCAAATGATTTTTGACAAGAGTGTTAAGCCATTCAATGGCAAAAGGATAGTTTTTTCAACAAATGATGCTGGAATCCACATGCAAAAAAATGAAGTTGAATCCTTACCTAACACCATATTCAACAATTAACTCAAATTGGATTAAAGACTAAATGTAGGTCCTAAAGCTATAAAACTAACTATAAAACTCTTAGAAGAAAACATAGAACAAAAGCTTCATGACAATGGACTTGGCAGTGGTTTCTTGGATACGACACCAAAGGGACACACAACAAAATAAAACATAGTCAAATTGGACTTCGTGAACATTAAAATATTTTGTGCATCAAAATACAACATCAACAGGGTAAAAAGGTAACCCACAGAATGGGAGAAAAATATCTGCAAATCATTGATCTGATAAGGGATTAGCATCCACAATACACAAAGAACTCATAAAACTCAATACAAATAGCATTCAATACAAAAAGCAACCCAATGAAAAAATGGGCAAAGGACTGGAATAGACATTTCTCAAAAGATATACAAATGGCCAATAAGCACGGAAAGATGCTCAGCATCAGTAATCATTAGGGAAATTTAAATCAAAACCACATTACCACCTCACAGCCACCGGGATGGCTACTATCCAGGAAAAAAAAAAAGAAGAGAAAAGACGTGTTGGGGAGGAGGTGCAGAAACTGCAACCCTTGTGCACTGCTGGTGGGACTGCAAAGTGGTGCAGCCGCTCTGGAGAACAGTAGGGAGGTCCCTCAAATAACTAAGACTAGAACTACCATATGACCCAGCAATCCCACTTCCGGGTATATAACCGAAAGAACTAAAAGCAGAATCCTGAGAGATATTTGTACACCCATGTTTATAGCAGCATTATTCATAATAGCTAAGACTTGGAAGCAACTTAAGTGGTCCACTGACAGACGAACGGATAAGCAAAATTTGGTATATGCACACAATGAAGAGCCTTAAAAAGGAAGGAAATTCTGGCACATGAGACACGGATGAAACTTAAGAGGACTGTGCTACGTGAAATAAGCTAGTCACAAAAAGACAAACACTGTATGATTCCACTTATATGAGATCCTCAGAGTAGTAAGAGAGACAGAAAGTAACATGGTGGTTGCCAAGGGCTGGGGGCAGGGAGAAATGGGGAGTTGGTATTTAATGGGAACAGTTTCAATTTTACAAGATGAAAAGAATCGTGGAGATGAATGGTGGTGATAGCTGTATGACATTATGAACGTATTTAATACCACTGAAGTGTTCACTTAAAAATAGTTAAGGTGGTAAATTTTATGTGGTATTGTGGTATTTTACCACCACAACAAAAAAAGTTGAAAAAACCCCCAAAAACCCCAAACAGGTGGATAGGCTAGGAATGGTCTCTCATCTGGTCATATAAGGCTAAAATGAGCTAATGCTGTGAAAACATTTTTGTAAACTGAAATATACCACATTACACACTGATCTAGATTTATTTGAACACTTATCATTATATGTTTTAGATCAATGTGCCTGACATATTACCCTTAAACATGAATAAAAATGTTTAAAAAAATCACAACCATGTATAATTTTCAGTGTTCACTTTTCATCCTGAAGTAAAAATTTTGTTTTTATTATGTTCTGAAGCTTATGAATACATAATTAAAAAAAATAAAGGTAGAATTTCTTTAATTATAGCTGGATTAGCATAGTTAAGTGAGTAGTGAATAGTCAAAAGTATCTTCGTCAAGGAAAATTTGCGAACCAATTGAAATTCAGTAATTATTCTTAAACAACTAGCAAGTAGCACAACAAATAGATTAGCACCTAACTCAAACAATATAAAGTGCGTGTGTGTGTGTGTGTGTGTGTGTGAGAGACAAATAATACACAGCTTCTGAGGCTAAGATGTGTACATAAAGTGAAGAGTAATGAAGGTGGAAGCTTGTCCTTTTATTTTACTGCAACAATAGTCGCATGTGTCAAGAAAGATATACCCGATAATGTTGACAATTAAGTACTATTCAAGCGTTAACTTCGTGTTATTTACTGATTTTACAGTGGGACAGAAAATTGTAAATACTTTTCACTGTCAAAAGCTTTCCTGTTTCTATGGAATTTGGTCTTAGATATCATTAACTTAATAGGAAGGCTTTCATTTTAAATGTCTTATTATAATTAAAAAATACCTTACTAGAGGTAGCTTTTCAAATTCTAAAATAAAATTAAGAAGGTACTACGGAATCTTGTTATTTTTATAGTTAATTTAGAACAAGCTAAGGTTTCCTAGTACTTGCCTCTTGTAATCTGAAAACAACAGGGATTTTCTTTTCCGTACAGGCAGCTATGAAGTTATCAGGTAGTAGCTGTCCATCTGAAAGGAACTGGTCATCTTTTCCTTGATCAATTAGTATATCCAGCTGAGTACCTGGGCAGGCCTTCACAAGATGGGTAGCATCATAAGCCTATAAAAAGGGGAGAAATAATGAAAAATAAATTTGAAAGTGCCCAGAAAGATATTCTGCAGAATACCCTATACTAGAACTGAATAGAAATTTAAAGTCATTTCAGCTCTAAGGCTGATTAAATTGAAAATATGCTTTTAAGTTGGCTTGTCTGGTTTTTATTTACAGGCCTTCAGAATTCTATCGTCAATTACAGCTTCTTCCCTACTTTCAACCAGTCCTAGACCAACGGCAAGAATTCTATATCTCAAGTATTCTTCATAGTATATAGCCTTTTTTCTTCCAAACCTTTAAGGTTTAATCACCTCTCAACTCCAAGAAAACCAATTTGTTTTCTTTGTAAATCCTTTTACAAACTGATTATTTCTTCTAACTCCATTATCTTTTTCTATTTCCAAATATTCTCTATTTCAAATAAATAGTCTATTTTTTGTCCCTTCTTTTTGACTTATTCCAGACATAAATCTCTCTTTTGCTATCTGCTGAATGGCACCAAATGTCCATCTCCAGGAACTTTCAGGAAGACTTGATTTGAACAATCTGAATCATATCAACAACTCAAATTTATTATGTGAGGAGCTGCCACTAGTTACAATTTTCTATTTTACCATCCATCTTTAAATATTGATTATTCATGTATATTCACTAATGACAACTTTTATGCATTGATCAAGACACACAAAAACCAAAAGATTTCCCCTTCTAAAGTAGCATGCTTTTTAAGACTTGCTTTTTTTAATCTTAAAAGGAGAGGGTGGAAGGACACCTATAAAGTCCAACTAGTTCTAAGTTCCACGATTTCATAATTCTGCATGGCCTCCTTATTCCAAGAGTAAATTAAATGATAGCCTAAACACTGCATAATTAAAATAGTAAAATCTACTGCCATTTGGAGAAAAATGATACAGATTCCTTTATAGGGTACCTCTCCCCTACTTCTCCCAATCAGTTGGTCTTTTACTCAAAACTTCTATTAGACCATAAGGCCCCTGTGGACGGGAAAGGGTCATCACCTTCTTGACATAAGATCTCAAAACCCCACACAAACTCTGCACATGGTGAGGACTCAAAACACTGAGGCACAAGCACTGTCAATGCACTGTCCCCAAAGTAACTAATAGTAATAATTTTCAGCATTCTTCCAATATAATAAAAATCTAAGACTAAGCAAAACAAAACTCTAATGACTAAAAGATTAACCTTCCAATTTGTCAGAATTTCAATGACCAATCTTAAATAAAATAGGGGTCCATGTGTAAATGACTTTGAATAAACAGCAATAAGACAAAAAAGGTTTTTTCCCACTCGACGATTTTCTACTTGCTAACATGCACATGATGATGAGTTAGTTCACCTGCAAAATATTCAAACTCTTGGTGGAGTTTTCAAATAGCCCATTTCTGCACAAGAGCAAATCAGTCTCAGGAAAAAAGGGCCATTTTTATTTTCATTTAGAAGCATCTGCTCCTATGCGTGCAAAAGCAATCTTACTGTTGGAAATATTCTCATGAATGTATATTACATACACAATATCTATTTTTAAAAGCTTTTAAGTCTAGAATTTAAAATCCAAATCTGAGAGATGCTAGACTTTGAAACAGATACACAAAATAAAAAGCCAGGCCTTGTAGTTCTTATCATACAATTTAAGCACACAGTTAATATGAGGTAAGTCTAAATTCAGTAATATGGGGTATTTTTTGTGATGTTAATTTAGAAGATAAACATATAAATTAATCATTAGCAGAAAAAAAATGTAGCCGCAGAATATCTCCCATAATTCAATGCAATTGAAATACTGCTCTCTGTTGTTGTTGTTATTGTTATATGTATACACTTTAATTATTTTTTGATCTGAATCCTTAACTTGAGTAAGTTAAGAATATAACGTCTGTAGTGTGTAGCTTTTTAACAAATTTGAAAACTTAAGAATGAGTTATGAAGACCGCCATCCAGTACCTACCTCCCATTTACTTTGATCTGTTCCCAAATATCCACTAAAGGCTTTTTTGCCCCAAGGACAGAGCACTGGGTTGCAAATTGGAGCAAACGCTGACACAGACTTCAGAAACAAACAAACAAAAAAATTAAAAACAAGTTTTATTTTGCTAAATTGAATATGAACAGGTATTTACAACTTGCTTAAAAACTCTGACTTGCCATGAAAATCCCTGTGACCAGTTTTCCTTTTGCTATATTATGGGCTTAGATTATATGCCTCTCCAAGATACCACATCCTTTGTGTGTTCTAATAAAAGAGCTACATTTTCACGTAGGCACAATGAAAGTTTATGTTCAGCGTTTCTACTCATTTTTCCTACATTTTCATGTAGGCACAAATGAAAGTTTATGTTCAGCGTTTCTACTCATTTTTTCCACTTAAAACAGTGGAAAATCAAAGTCAACTTTACAAGAATATTCCCGGTAAAAGTAAATGATAACATACTGTCACAATAACATTAATCAATAATAACTTTTAGGGAAAAAAAGCCTAGAAAACTATAGTTTGAATAGAAGCAATGAAAGCTGCTTTATAATACCTCTAATAGACCAATGAGAAACCACTGGGATAAAATTCCTATACTTCTGATTCTGTAGCATTGTATTGTATGGTCAAATTTAATGCTCTTTCCCCACAAACCCCTTGAAATTCCCAAGACTAGAAAAGTTTAGTCCCAATACTAAAACAACAGTATCTTAATTTCAATCTTTGAAAGTTCCTAATATTATACTATTCAAGAGAAATATCTGTCACTAGAAGCTTAGGTAATCTTACTTTGTATTTTCCAGGGTTCTTCAAAGCACAAATCAGAGCTCCATGGCCCCCCATGGAGTGGCCAAAAATAGACATCCTTTGGGGATCCACTGGAAAATTGGTATTTATGAGTTGTGGAAGCTAGAGAGAATTTAATAGTGGGACAAGAGATATGACAGAAATAAGTTTAGGCTTTTTCAAAGTCATCTAAAATAATCAATACTTTCAAATTCACAGTCTTAAAATGGTTCACACTAGTAAAGATTAAAAAAAAAGTCAGACAGACAATGATCATTAATATATCACTGGAGAATATACGTTACATCTTCCTTGGAAAGCGACTTTAAGAAGATAATGCAGAAAGAAACTTTAAAATGTAAACTTTTGATCTAGTAATTTCACTTCCTGGAATCTCTTTCTAAGGGAAAAGTCCTTATGGGTAAAAAATTATAAACAAAGATAATCAATGCAGTAATGCGTATTATGGTAAAAAAAATATGTAAATATATAAATAGCCTCCATTACAAAAAAGTAAATCACAGCATATGACAGAATATTATACAATTATTAAAATTATGTTACAAATAGATCAGAATATTAGAAAATATTTACTTTATATAATTAAAAAAAGAAGAAGATAAAAATGTTTTACTATTATATGAAAACTAGTCACACAAAAATGTCTGGAATATACGAGAATATAGTTGTTTGGGGTGACAGAATTATGGGTGATTAAAATTTTATATTATCGTTTCTGAGTTTCTATGATGTGCACATTAACAATTAAAATCATAGAAAAATGCATAAACTGCACACACATATTATTAATAGAAGCAGTGCTTTACCACTTATCCTTTTTGATTTTAATCACTATGAAATATGTCTGGATGAACCAGCTGCCAGAAAATACAGTTTTTTCATACACTATTTTCTTTGTATAACCTGGGTGGTGTATACAGGTGTCAATATAATTATTAAACTCTTTAAAATTGTACGTAGTGTTCATTTAAATTGCAGAAAATAGTACTATAGTACTTGTAAACTTTGGAATTTTTACCAAGATAATTAATAAATATGTACCCAATAGATTCAACAATACCATACCCTAGTTTAAAATTCTCGGCACTGGAAGGACTTTGTGTCCCAAATCAAACTTTTGGCAGTCATCAACTAATAATTACACTGTAAATTAAATTACCTCCTCCGTTACATACGAGTACATTCTGTAGTTAGTTTTCCAAGGATCTTCAGTAGCATCCACATAAAATCCAGCCCCAGAGCCGAAGTCCCAGGTCTCATCTTCTCCTTTAATATTGCAGCCACCTATTAAGGAAAAATCTTGTGGTTTCATCTACTCTGTAGTAATGGCCCATGTTTAATAACACACTTTAAAATGAACCTGAAATTTCACTTGCATTAGAGCTGTTCACCAAGTATTGTGGGCTCTCTGCGTTTTGGGGTACATACTTCCTTGCCCCCTTGAGTGCGGTCATGTGACTAGTTCTAGCCAATGAGGCAAGAGAGGGAATGGCCCTCTAGGCCGGGGTATTCACTGGCTTTCTTCACTGATGGAGCTCCCTCCTATGTATTCTGAACATATCTTTCCTCACTCTGTTTTACCTGTCAAAGGGCTTATACTCTCTTTTTATCTTTCAGAAATACGTTGATTCCTTCTCTGATGCCCCTCCTCATTACCAACACTTCTTTACTTCTCTGTACCACTGTGATCTTAGAAGGGAAGGGGAACAAATGCTTGTGCTCAATTCACTATTTTGAACTGAAGATGTCTCCTTATGTACTTGGGAATCATTGAATCACGTTTCCCCTATTTACCCATCCCCCAATGGGATTTTCTTATATTCTATTTTAACTAATTACATTTTATTTTATATCCTTGCATACAGTTAAAAAGCCAACCACTGGGATTCTGAATAAAATTATAGTGATACGTAATTTGATGGAAATGACCTCTTCATAATAGTCAGTCTACCCATCCAGGAATATGACATTCTTCCACTTACAACAATTAGGAAATTTTATGTTTTTTTAAAAACTAAATCTCCATACTTTAAAAGTTTATTCCAAGGCATTTTATATTTTTGATGCTCTTCTGAATTAAACATTTTATTACATTTCCTGTGACCTCTTACTTTTACATAATATGGATTGTGAAAGGAAATGCATTACTTCCAAGGCCAGCCATTCAACTTCCAGATAGTTTTAGCTACCATTTAAATTCCATTTCCTGACTCTTCTAGGGTCCCAAAACAAGTTTCAATTATCTGATGGATTGAATTCTCAAATATTTGATATTCTCATTTCTCTAATGTAAACATTATAATCATTTATATTAAAACTAATACTTGTTTAACTGTATGACTATTTGATGACTAACAGAAATGAGAAAAGATAATTACCACATGACAAGGCAGTTTACCCAAGGAATAAAAAAAATTATTTCCTATGCATTGTAGGTTATTTTATATGATACATTATTAATTGAGTTGCTCAGTCTCTGTTTTAAAGTGCCTTAGTGTCTTAATCTGTAAAATGGGAATAGCAAAATTGTCCTCTCTCATAAGAGTGACGTTATGAGTAAAATTCAGTGAGGAAAATATACAGCATGGTATTTTAGAGTCATGATGTTGCTTGAAAGATTGGTAAATAGCAAAAATATGAAATGAATTGTGCATTATTATAACTTAAGTCTTAAGGATTTATATTTTTACAAAGGACCTCTGGAACAAGAACACTTACGAGGGCTGGTATCTGGAGCAATGACGACAAGGCCATGTTCCGAGGCAGCTTGATGATAACCAGATTTTGATATAAAATTTTGTTCTGTGCAAGTTAAACCTAAAGATCAAAAATATTGTTATCTCATGATATGCTGTGAACTGTGAACGGTTTATAAGCTTTAATCTTCTTATAACACAGAAAACAAGCTCACTTATTAGAAAGTTTTTTCTTTGTTTGTTTTAAGAAATAATGCTGAAAAAGACACTAAAGTTTCCCTTCTCATAAAATACGTAACAGTATTAATCCAAGAACTGTCTTAGGTTAAATGCTCCCATAGCTGTCCTTTGAAAGTCACTCACTAAAATTTCAATTACTGAAATCCTTTGGACCAGGTGTGTTTGGGAATTTAGAATTATTCAAACTGTAGAATGGCAATATGGCGCATTAAACAAATGTTATTACAACCCTAATGGTGTGTTATTCTTTTAACAAGAGATATGACTGCAGTAGCTCTCACCAGAAACCAAAGGTAAAATGAACAGGAGAAAAGAATACAGCTTTGGACCATGAATCAGAAAACTTGTTCACTCTTTTATGTGACCCTGGGTAATATATAATTTCCCTGGTACTATAGAATAGTTTCCTATTCTACAGGTTACATGATTTCTAAGAGCATCTTTAGCTACAGAATACCATGTTTCTAAAACAAACATGTAATGTGTTGTTGCTTTTGGCAATACCCTGCTCTTCTAGCAAAATTGGTTTGCTTTTTCCAATCAAAGAAATTAGTTGTTGAGTTAAAACTAGATAGGCACATCAGAAAGTCTACAAACAATAAATGCTGGAGAGGTGTGGAGAAAAGGGAACCCTCTTGCACTGTTGGTGGGAATGTAAATTGATACAGCCACTATGGCACAGTATGGAGGTTCCTCAGAAAACTAAAAATAGAACTACCATACAACCCAGCAATCCCACTACTGGGCATATACCCAGAGAAAACCATAATTCATAAAGAGTCATGTACCACAATGTTCACTGCAGCACTATTTACCATAGCCAGGACATGGAAGCAACCTAAGTGTCCATTGACAGATGAATGGATAAAGAAGATGTGGCACATATACACGATGGAATATTACTCAGCCATAAAAAGAAACAAAATTCAGTTATTTGTAGTGAGGTGGATGGACCTAAAGTCAGTGAAGTAAGTCAGAAAGAGAAAAACAAATACCGTATGCTAACACATATATATGGAATCTAAAAAAAAAAAAAGGATGGTTCTGAAGAACCTAGGGGCAGGACAGGAATAAAGACGCAGACATAGAGAGTGGACCTGAGGACACGGGGAGGGGGAAGGGTAAACTGGGACGAAGTGAGAGAGTGGCATGGACATATATACACTACCAAATGTAAAACAGATAGCTAGTGGGAAGCAGCCACATAGCACAGGGAGATCAGCTCAGTCCTTTGTGACCACCTAGAGGGGTGGGATAGGGAGGGTGGGAAGGAGATGCAAGAAGGAGGGGATATGGGGATATATGTATACATATAGCTGATTCACCTTGTGATACAGCAGAAACTAACACACCATTGTAAAGCAATTATACTCCAATAAAGATGTTAAAAAAAAAACTAGGTAGGCACTTAATTTTTGCCTTTTAAAATGAAATACTATTCTCATTTTTAAAGACTGGTATTTGGGGCATATCTTTGAGGAAACATACATAAGGGAGGATTTAAATCAAAGTTATAAGAAGCAATTTTAAAGAAACAAAAATAGAACGCTATGACATAATTTGGTTTCTATGAGTCTCTTATAATGTCTGCTTCTAAAGATGAAGTGCCAATGTCTTGTGAAAGAAAAGTTAGCATAGAGGTTCAAAATTACTCTCTCACAATCCATTCAAGAATCTTTAACATTCACCTCTGATTAAGAAGCATTAGTATTCTTTTGTGATGTTCCAGATTGTAGCCAGAGAAGGTGAGTCCAATTAAAATATTTCCAAGAACACTGCAAGAAGTTTCTTGGCTGTGGTTTCTAATTAGCATATCACAGGTGTCCTGGTTTTACCTAATACTGTTCTATTTGAGTGGTAAAGTCTCTAAGAAACACTTGAGTAGGTACAAAGTAAATAACTTTTCTAAGCTCTTGTCACTGAGTCTAGAACTTTATATTCTCTGCTGAATTACTTGGTCTAATTGAAAAAGAAGTATAATAAATGTAATTCAGTAGGTCTGAAATTATTCTTGGGATAAAGTAAGAGTAGACTATGACAGGCTCCTGAAGTCTTTTATAAATGGTTCAGAAGGCACACCAATAAGTAAAGATTAAAGAATAAGATTAGCTAGTTAAAAAGAAAAACTCCTTTATAAAACTCAAAGGCAGAACACTTACCAGACAGCCAATATAGTGCAGGGCATTTTCCAGTTTCTGCCTTTGGTGGTAAATAGATAGCAAATTTCATTTTGCATTTCAGTTCAACACTGTAATTTTAACAGTCATACATACAAAAAAAATCAGTTGCCCTGATTGTCATCAGTCAAGACAGAAACATAAAATAAGTGATTTAATGTCCAAAATAAGTGATTCCACCAACATTTAAGGAATATACCATAGCCCTTAAAGAAAGAATGAGGCCAATTTAGCATACTGATCTATTGATATTAACCGAACTGAGCCTATGCTGTGCATGGTACACAGTCATTCTGAGCAGGCTGAATTAAAAGAATAAATGTAACACCCTCAATGCAGCACTAAAATTATTAAAAGAAAAACTGTTTCTAAAGAGATATATGAAATAATAAATCAGCTTTTATAAAAAATGAATTCTAAAGCTCTTAAACTACATGTTTGTTCATGGGCACTGAAATGCATCACGTCCTTAATTTGCTTTTTATCACTAAGAGTTTATTACCATCACCAGTATCAAAACTAGATAAGATAAAGCTGATAAAAATCACAGGTATTTTCTACAGGTAAACAGTAATTCAGGCAACAGAGATCTTTCATGGGCTTATTTAAAGAATCAAATAGACGGAAGCAGAATCAGAGATATCTAAAATTGTATCTTCTTAGTAGTTACCTGTCATGTTCAAAAACCTTCTGCAATCCCCCAAAGCACTTGTTGCTGGAAATCTGTTTCAACGCCATTCTCCTCCTATTAGTGAAGATTAATCTCATTAATTTCTAGAGAATCAGTTCCTAAAAAATTTGAAACAAAACTAACTGTTTTCGGGATAAGTTATCTAAACATGCAACTGTCTGCCACCCTGAATTTTTTTCACATGCTAATTTCCTCTCATAAATAATATTATGAAACTGACTAATTTTGATACTTACACTTGGTACTCACTTTAGGAAACTTTAGTACTTTGGAATGTCATTACTAATTTATTAACAAGCTTTTTTGTCTGTATGACTGTGGACTGCCCCAAATTCTTTTTATTTATTTTTTTGGCTGTGTGCGTGGCATGTGGGATCTTAGCTCCCCGATGAGGGATCAAACCCATGCCCCCGGCAATGGATGTGCAGAGTCTTAACCACTGGACTGCCAGGGAAGTCCCTTTCCTTTTTACTTTTTTCCAAATTCTTTTCAGAAAGAGGCAGAATATAAATAAGTTATTAACTTTAGCTTAGAAGATTAAAAATTTTAATTAAAAATTAAAAACTAAAATTAATAGTTTACCAGTTAACTGTAACAAAGGAGGCAATGGTATGACATTATGGTTGATATTAAAATGGGAGGAAAATGGTATAACAATAATGATTTTGAAAATAATAACAGGTAACATTTACCGAACACAGTGTCACAGGCACTTTCCTACATGTTGAACGAGATCAAATTACTCATCCTAGGAGAGTGTTTCAGAGAAAGTGATATACAATTTTCAGATCAACATTTCTCCTTTTAAAACAAACCAGCAAGTAAAACGAAACCCTGTCCTGAGTGAATTAAAAGTACAGCTTGTCATGGGAAAAGCTTGAAGTTTAGTACTTCTTTTCTCTCCAACACATCTTTAAAGTTTTCCTAAATAGTTTTAAACTTAAATGTTAAAATACCACACATTATTAATTTTTAATAATAAATACCAAGAAACTGGAACACCATCTTTATGGTAAATACCTGTTGAGCAAAGAGAAACCAGACTGATTCTGATTTGTATCTCTCGAGGAAGGATTCCCTTCCCCTCCTTATTACAAATCACTAAATCGTACAAACTAAATAAAAAATCCTCAGATACCAGGCACAGGTATTACCTCTCTGGTGGTCTTCTCAGTGAAAAGTTCTGCTGTACACTGATCAGTTGTGGTGTTAAGGTTACTCTAAAAAGATACATAGCAATAATCTTAGGAAGCTTATTTTGGAAACATCTTTGCAAAATTCTAAATAAGATTAGTTTCAATCCTACGTTTAAGTAATCTCCTCAATAAATCCAAATACTGGGCTTTGCATTGGAAACGTGGGATGTGAACCAGAAAGTCTGACATCAGAGCCCCTACTCTCCTGCTATACTTTCCTGCCTCCTGAGAGGGTTTTTAAATACTCACAAAAAAATTTTTTTTCAGAAAAGACTGACTAATTTTATAGCATTAGGGTATTACAATTATATACAGAGGTAGAATTACCTTCTATTCACAGGTTTATGCTTTTAACCTTCAAAAGACCAATTTTTAAACAAACTGCCCACAAAATGTTATTAATTATTGAATATTAGCTTCAGCTATTTTTGTTTATGACACTATCTTAAATAATGAATTAACAAAGATAGATGTATACTTTTAAAATATATACACATGAGACCAAGGAAAAAAATTTACATGAATTATTCTTAAAGGAAATCCTATTTTTTTAGATCTAGCAGGGACTATGTCTGCTTTCCCAAAACATGGTACACTGAGCATATATCTAGTACGTGAGAGGTACCTGATAATTATTTGTTGAATTAATGAATAAATTTTTAACTTCTAACTACCAATTATGTGAAAGTTTTTAAAATTAGCTTATTCTTTACCTCTATTGTTGTCATACTTTGTTATTCATCTATTTTGGTAATCCGTAAGTAGTCTATTTCTTCTGCTCTTTGAATGTTCTTAATTAAAATTCAAAATCAAACACTTTACATTGGGCCAGAGAAAACAAAGTTAAAATACTGTTTTTTAAATTGGTAGAATGAATTAATAAAAACAAAATCAAAGCTTTTAAAGTTTTTTCCCCCTAACTACCCATTCTAGGAACTATCTTCAATTGTCAATTAAGAAAGTTAGGCTCAATAAAAAATAAAACATAAGCTAAGAACTAGATATGATATACTATGATATATGAAATGATATACTAGGTGATTACATTTTTCGCTAAAATTTTTCTATGTGAAAAATAGCATATTTTAAACCAAGTTACTAGATTTTTCATTCAACTTCCAAAGTAATACATAAAAATAAAACTTTAATGTACCTGTCCAATTGCTACTTGCTTTTTTATCTGCACCAAAGGGTAGATGATCCCGAAAAAAAGATCAAATGGTGTAGAAATGGGACATACTTTTCACAACAAAGGTTATACAGACATGTATAGTACACTACACATTCTCAACAGAGACACCTTCCTCTTGTGAGGTAGATGACTACCTACTCTGGGTATGGCAGTGTCAAAAGGGCAGCTGATGGGACAGCACCATCGCTTTGCCTCGGCCCATAATCTAAGTACCTTAACACCTATTTTGCCACAAGGCCTTGTGTTTGGTTAAAAACTTCTCCTGGAATAAGAGTCCTATGAAGAAAGTTCTTTTTTTCTTCTAAATAAATAGAAAACGTTTTAGATTGTAATTTGAAAGTACGAGATACAGTCAACTGCTGAGAGTGAAGAAAACAGGAGTGGAGACGAGAAAAGCAGAGAAAGGTAAAAAGCAGCCTAGATTCATCAGCTAAGGGTTGTAGGTCAAACGTGTAACGCGGGGACGATAAAGAAGGGAAGAGATGACGGCGTAAGGACTACTGGGCTGACTGGCTAGAAAGGATGAACTGGTGAGAAAACTGACTGGGCTTATGAATGATGGTGAAGTTACTGATACACAGAAATAAACAAATAAATAGAAGTGTACGTAGTAGTGTGCACCAAATGACACCAAATGTGTCATTTGTCTGACACGTTTCATTTTGGTTCTAGAACAGATTTGGGGGGAGAAACGAAGTTACAGAGTAGAATAGAATAATACAAAACACCCTCCCCCAAGAAAAACCAAAAACAAAGGCAAAAAAAATTTCACAGTGCCAGTCTTCCTAGAAAGTCAATGAAATGTACATCAATATTCTTCAGAGAACAAAGTTTCTCTCAATGCATGGTACATGGAAAGCCAATGAGGTAAAAAGTATCAAAGTCATCTTTACCCACAAAGCATCCATTCCCCCAAAAGGCTAAACTGTCAAATCTTACTTTTCTTCCCTTTACTTATTGAAGTTAAGTGTTATTTATCTCCAGCAATGTGTTCTTTGTATTTCACCCATTCTTTCCTTCTTTCCATAAGCCTCAAAAGTTTTCTATCTATCTCTACCTGGGTTTTTGTTCTCATTCTCTCGTGGACTTTGATCCATTTCTCCATCTGCAATGTGTCCCACCCCACTGGCTCTCAATGACCTACACAGGTCTTCCCAACATCACCCGATTATGGAACTGCTGACCATCACTTCCTTGTTCAAATTCTCTCCTCCGTGAAAAAACAGGATTCCATTCCCTAAGTTTCCGCTCTATTTTTGCCTTGAAACAATATAAATCTGCCTCTCTTGATTCAATCATTCTCAGGCACTAGTGCCAGAATTTAAATTTCTTGCTGGACCCTTCTCACAGGATGTGCCACAGGCTAGTAAAACTCAACGCATCTAAAGTCAAGCTTCTGTCTCCTACCTTCAAACCAAGTGTTTCTATTCCTTTTTTTGCTTCTCTTTTCATCTATGCCTGTCTTGCCCAACCTACATTTGAAATGTCTTAAAGTTACCCCGTCTCTGAATTCCCACTGCCACCTAATTATACACAAGAAATTAAATTTTCCTTCCTACTTTGTTTCCTTCTTGTGTGTCTCACTAAAATCAATCCTGCATTGGAGGCCTAGGGCTTTAATCCATTTAACTTACTGCTCAATGGATCCCTATACACAACACATCTTCAGGCCTAACATGGTCTACTTGGAATTACTAGTCATTTAAATTTATTTTTAATTTTATTTTAAAAATTGTGATTAAAAAACACATAACATAAACTTTACTGTCTTAACCATTTTTAAGTGTATAGTTCAGTAGTGTTAAGCACATTGTCAATTTTAAAACATGGTTAGCTTGCCCACATTAACTAGCAGATGAAAAATGCTTGCCCACTTCCAGGATGCTGCTACAGGTGTCCAGAACTAATCCCACTCTGCTGTCAGGGCAGTAGTTGAAAACCAATAAGTCATTGAAATGGAAGATAGTGTCAATAATTATGCAATTTTTTAAAAGCTTGATACCATTAAAACTTCAGAAAATTGAAACTATGAACTGACAAAAAGGATGAGCAGAACTCCATATATACTTTGGTCACATTATTAACTGTGCCATGCATAATCGCTTTTCCTTCATAATTCACATGGCTTGCCCATACATGAATTTTTAATCCACCCTGGGGAAAAACATAGCATCCATGAACTCCAAGCACCTTAACTTAGCTCTCAAAATTGTCTTCAATGGTCCCACAGTATTTTTCTGGCCTTGTTTTCTGTTATCTTAATTTAGTCAAACTCAATTATGTATAATTCTAGCATAGCCTGGATGTTTCTACTGGGTGCCAAGGTACAATGGTTTTAGAGCAGGTTGTGGAGCCAGACCCTCCAGGTTCAAATTCTGGCTTCACCACGTACTATACACGGTAGTTCTTTGGTAGTGGTCGTGACTTCGGGCAAACTATGTCATCTTTCTATGCCTCATTTCCCCATCTGTAAAGTAAGGATATTAATAGGATCAGTTTGATAGGGTTGTTCCCGGGACTGAGTTAATTCACGTGCTTCGAACACTGCTGGCCATGATACGCACACAAATGTTAGCTATTATTATTCTTGCAACCTCGAATGCCCTCCAAGGTCCGCGCAAATGCCATCGCCCTGACGACCCACTCACAGACGACCGCCAGACCCCTACACAACTGACACCGCATTTACAAATACGATCAGCCTTCCAAAGTGCTTGCAAGCGTGTGCGGAGAAGCGGGATCCCCAGGTGCCCGGGCCCCTGACCCAGGCGCCCGTGGAGGCTGCGAACGCTTTGGGGTCTGTTTCCTCCATGAGCGAGGTACCCATCCACCTGATGCAGGAACAGCTACGCAAACGTAGTGGGGTATTTGATAAACCGGCAGATGCCCTCAGAGACCGCACGCCCGAGCGCCCCGAGTTACACATTCTTGGAAGCTCAATGAGGAAAAGGGATCCGGGAAGAGGCCGAGCCTCGGGACAAAGTCCTCGGCTCAGCGCCCCTCCCTCGGCCTCCTGCCACGGCTCGTCGCGCTCTGGGCCCGGGTCCGCGTTCTTCGCGATCGCACCCACGCGACTCGCCGCAGGCCTCAGCGTGCGCCCCGACCGGGCCCCGCCGTGTCACCGGGGCAGCACGAGACCCAGACGGGCCGAGGACATCCGGGCCTCTGGCCAGACCTAGTCTTACCTCGGGCCGCGTAGGGAAGAGGAGCAGCAGTCGTAAGGGAAAGGCGGGGCCTCATCATGGCCGCCAGGGCCACCGCCTCGGCCCCGCCCCTCTAGGGTCCGCCCCCTCTAGGCCCGCCCACTCCGGGATCCTAACTCCCGAGTCCCTTCTCCCCAGCCCCGCCCTTCATCGGCCCCGCCCCCCACTGTCCCCGCCCCCTCCCTCGCCTGGCACTTCCCCGCAGCGCTTTGTGGGCGGCTTCTCCTTTTCTTGACGCGAGTCCTACGTCAGGGAGCCGCCATCCGCCTTGGCCCAGACTCTTACCAGCGGGGGCAGGATAAGGCCCAGGCTTGAATGAACGTGAGTTCTGGCACAGCTTAACTCGTGGAAAATGTTTCCACCGTAGCCTTTTGAAGTTATTTAGAAACGAGGACATAATTTCAAACCTCCTCCCCCTCGCCAGCCCCAGTCGTTCCAGTTCACCTACTTGGTAGCTGGAGTGAAATAGGAGCCATTTAAAAATCTCCTGTGCTGGAAACATAGTAGAAGCTTCCCCAGTGTCCTCTTTTCTCCCTTCTCTCAATGTTAGTTGAATTGAGCAATACAGTTGTTGGTTGCTGACTTACAACAGATGCTTGCCCTTTTGCTTCTGTTGCCTGATTTAACGAAATTGTTAGTGTACTTTGTTGAGAAAATTAAACATGATTACCAAAAAAAATTTTTTTAACCAAGAGCTAGATAGACATATTGTAAATGACATCTTCTGAAAGACAAGGCTGGTTTTGTGGGCATGCAACCTGTCCAGTGGAACAGGACCTCAGAAAGACTCTGAGGTCCTAGTTTCTTTCCTGTGCCGCATTATTAATAAATTCTGAAAGGGCCCACATATTTCCATTTTGCACTGGGCCCTGCAAATGATGTGGCCGATCTTCTGAAAGAAGTGGTAGGTGAAGTGACCTCTATTGGAACCTATGTTATAAATATAGATGCCACTCAGGAGACTACCTGTCAGCATTTGTCCCCGTGGCCCAGGCCTATTTGGCCATAGTGACCTATGGAATGAACTAATCTGTGGAGCTGTGGATCGACTGGAATTCGGGCTGAAGGTAGCATTTATTTAATCAAAATAATATTTTTATTCTGAGGAAGCATTGAAATGAAAAATTCATTTTACTTTCTACTATTTTTTTTAATTAATTATTTTAAAAAATTTATTTTATTTATTTTTGGCTGCGTTGGGTCTTGGTTGCTGCCTGCGGGCTTTCTCTAGTTGCGGCGATCCGGGGCTACTCTTCCTTGTGGTGCACTATTTTTTAATACAAGTCACTGAAAATGGAATCTTCTTCAAACTGAGTTTCACAACTAAAATAGAATACTCAAGTTTGCAAGTTATTTAGAACTGATAGGAAATATTTGGAGAAGCTTAAAGGGGATTTATTTAATAAATTGATTGCTCTGGGGTGCAGACTAGCCTAAGAACTGTGAGATCAAGTCTTTTACTGAAAGGTTCTTGTGTTGATACAGTGTGATGATAACCGGAAGTAAAATTTAAAATTTATTTTACTCAACATAAATACAATTATAATATATAGCTCCAATAAATTTCTGTTTCTTCTTTAATATTATATATATAATTTTGTAATATATAATTTGAAAAGATATAAGTGTGCACCCCCCCATATTCATTGCAACATTATTTACAATAGACAATACATGAGAACATCCTAAGTGTCCATCGATGGATGAATGGATGAAAAAATGTGAGATTTTATGTATATGTGCACAATGAGATATTACTTAGGGATATTACTTTCTTATCCTTAAGAAAGAAGAAAATCTTGCCATTTGTTACAAGATGAATGAACCTGAGGGCATTATGCTAAATGAAATAAATCAAAGACAAATAGTGAATGATGTCATTTATATGTAGGCTCTGAAAAGCAGTTCAACATGATGACATAGGAAGAGCCTGAACTCACCTCCTCCCAGAGACACACCAAGTCTACAGCTACTTATGGTACAGTTCACTCCAAAAAAGAAGTGAAAATTAGCTGAGTAACTCCTTCACATCAGCAAACACATCAAAGCAGGTAGGAAAGGCTGAGACAGAGTCTCACCATAAACCCAACCCCTGGCATGGCAGCCCGCAATCCCAAGGGACCTCACAGACCCTGAGCTTCTCCCCAGGAATGAAGGGTTATCCCCTGCTTCAGGCACTCCAACTTTTAAGACCTGCAACTGAAAAATGAATCTCCCAAACATCTGGCTTCAAAAACCATGAGAGCCAAAAGGCTGTTCTCCTCTCTTTCTTAATATCTCAACATCCCCAAATTGATACCACTTTCACCTTACCTGTCTTTCACTAATTTCAAAGCTTCACAAAGTAAAACTTACATATTCCCACTTTCATGATTTCAGTTAGATTCATCCCAAGGTCTAATAAATTATAATTATATTATTAAATACAGTATTGATTGTATTAATACAAATATATATTTGAAAAGAACACTTAAAATATAGAAATTAATAAAAATTAAATCACCAATAATCCTAGTATTTAAGAGAGAAATTCATTTAATTTTTCTGATAGGTCATTTTGTTACGGACCAGGTTTCTTGGCCTTCTTTTTTTTTTTTTTTTTTTTTTCTTTACGCGGGGCCTCTCACTGCCGTGGCCTCTCCCGTTGCGGAGCACAGGCTCCGGACGCGCAGGCCCAGCGGCCACGGCTCACGGGCCCAGCCACTCTGCAGCATGTGGAATCTTCCCGGACCGGGGCACGAACCCACGTCCCCTGCATCGGCAGGCGGACCCCCAACCACTAAGTCACCAGGGAAGCCCTTGGCCTTCTTAATCAATAGAAATTGATCAGAGGCCAGACAAAAAATTCAGGCAAGGCATTATTGGGGCCCCTGCTGCAGCAGGGGAGAGTGAGAACAAACAATGGTTTCCCTCGCTTGCTGGCTCCCCGAGCGGGGTGGGGGTGGGGGTGGGGAGAGCTTGTTCCTTATATGGGGTGAGGGTAGGGGTGTGTCCAGGGGTCGGCCGGAGGGGTGGCTTAGGTGTTTTGCCCACCACTTAGGTGGTGTTGTGTGCAGGGGGCATGTGCAGTGCCCTGCTTTTGCTCCCAACCCCCTGCTTTTGCTCCAGACTCTTCAAAGGTGGCAGTTGGGTTTTTTGGTCTCTGTATCTTTTGTCCAAAATTTGCCCTAGCTGCAGCTTGCATGCAGTTATTTTTAGTCCCATATAGTTTCTTTGTATTTTGTTGCTTAAAGAGAGGTGTGTCCAGGTGGAAGCCTTGCAGCACTGCAGCATGGGTCCCAGGTCCCGACCTGTCTCTCTCTGATCATTTAAAGTTTGAAAACAGTTGCCTGAAAAACTTTTGTGGCTGACAAATGTTTGGAAGCAGTAGTGACACCTTTTTCACTTTCTAACATGAATATTTAGACTTTTTAAGTTTTTAAGATAAATTTTAATAATTTATGTTTTCCAGAAAATCTCTTTTACCCAGGTTTTATATTTTTTGTAGCATTTTATTTAAAAAAATAAAAATCTCCACACCTGT